TGAAAAAATAACTATGCGGGGCGGGTTGAAATTTTTGTGGGTTTTGCCGCACCCGCCCCGCCCCTCCCCATTGCCATCCCTACCTAGCACCCTAACCACTTTCTCTCCTGATGCATTTTCCCCCTCCCCTTTTATATCCCTACATTTCAAACGCTACCTCCTTTCTTCCCACACCCGTCTCCCTTAACTTCTCACTTCTTATACAAGATCTATCCTTTTCAGTGAAATGTTTACAATAATGGTGGAAGTAATTAATGTATATTGGGGTTGATTTTTTTGTAAAAGAGATATTTTTGGCGGTTAGAGCATTTTATAATTGAAATCAAAACACTAGATCAAAGTTGGCAAAGAAATTTTCCAGTTTTGCTTGCGCCATGGAAAATTGTTTGACATTAAAATTTTATTAGTTTAGGGTTTAATTAATATTTATGGCTGGAGCTTTTGGTGGTGGTAGACGAAGCTAGTGGTTCTGGACCTTCAAGTCGTGCAATGGTTCACCATGAAATGCTTTCGATAGTGATGGAGAAGAAGAGAAAGATAAAGAATGTAAAATTTTGATAAATGAATTTTTTTTGGAAAATGGAGTGACTAGTTACACATGTCAAACAATAAAAGGCTTACCATGTGATGTGTCATTCTCGTCAACACAGTTGAGGATCATGCTCTGGTGGAGGTGTTTAAAATATGTGTTTTGATCAAATTGTGGTGTTCAAATGGAAAGTTATAAGTTTGTTTACCGGGTTGAAAAATGGGTACAAGTTTAGGTGGCCACGAGACCATTTTGCCAATCATATAAACTTATCTACATGCTAGAAATGACTTTGAGCTTTTAAAGTGGTTTGAGAACCTAAGCAGGTATCATCGAAATGGATTCGCCAATATTTTTAAGCAAAGAAAAAAGCGGATGCGAAAGGAAGATAAAGCATTTGGAAGTTTATGCACAACTCTGAAGTTATGTTGCTCGGATCCTTCAAAATCCCTGCCCCATCGACATAATTTGGTATGTGATATACTTTCAAGGTTTTGCACCTCTCAAGCACAAAGAAGAGAGAAAAACAAAAGCACCCTGCTAAAGTTTTTCACAAAACTAGCGAAAGAGTTCTTCAAACTTACGCTAGAAGAATGTAAGATGAAAAGAAACCTCACCCACACGTTCTTTAATGCCGCAAGATTGCAAGAAGCGTTGAATAAAGGAAGAACAATGAAATAAAAAGTAAATCACATTTTTGAAGCAAGAGCGTAGAAAAACTAATCACCAATGTTTATTGTGAGAAAGCACGAGAGATATATTATTAATAATATGTCAAGTGTTTTACAATAAGCCTATTTATAACTATATACAACACATATTCTGGAAGTGTCAAGGGCAAGAACGGAGTGGGTATTTTGGTGGATAGGGAGCTCAGAGAGTCAGTGGTAGAGGTTAGGCGGGTGAATGACAGATTGATGACGCTTAAGTTAGTAGTTGGAGGGACCTCTTTGAATGCCATTAGCGCTTACGCGCCGCAAGCGGGCTTGGACGAGGAGGTTAAAAGGCGCTTCTGGGATGCGCTGGATGAGGTGGTGCGGGGTGTTCCGCCTACGGAGAAGTTATTCATAGGAAGGGATTTCAATGGTCATATATGTTCGTCTGCTGGTGGCTTTGGCGAGGTGCACAGTGGCTTCGGCCTTGGGGATAGGAACGGAGGTGGTACTTCACTGTTGGATTTCGCTAGAACTTTTGAGTTGGTGATCGTGAACTCTATTTTTCCGAAGAGGGAGGAGCATTTGGTTACTTTCCGGAGTATGGTGGTTAAGGCTCAGATTGACTATCTCCTCCTCAGGAGGTATGATAGGGGGTTGTGCGAGGATTGTAAGGTGATCCCGAGTGAGAACCTCGCGACACAACATAGGCTCCTGGTGATGGACGTCGGTATCTTGATAAAGAGGAAGAAGAGGTTTGTACGGGGTCAACCTAGGATCAGGTGGAGAGTTTTGACTAAGGATAATGCGGGGGAGTTGGAGGGGCGGCTGACGGCTATGGGAGCCTGGAAGAGTGGTGGGGACGCTAGCGTTATGTGGACGGCGACGGCGTACTGTA